GCTACATAAATGTTAAACATTCCAGAAGCACCAAACTGGGAGTCTGGCAGGGGAAATTTATGAGGGTGGAGAACTCTCTCTCTTGGTCAACAGGATACAGCTCCATTCTCCTGGGAAACAACAGCCTTGCCAGTGGACAAGGTCATCTATTTACATGATTTATTTCATTGTGCTTATTATGTGTGGATAAAGGAGGAAAATAAACTACAGAAAAAGTGAAAGGGTAATTTGAAGTACTCTGCTTTTTTTTTGGAAAGGCCTCAACTGAGGAAAGCAACTAACAAATTAGGGAAGTGATGACCAAAATCTTCTTGTATCATGCTGACTTATAACCCTAAAAAGCTTCTGATTCTAATTTTAAAAGGCAGGCAAATTACAAAAACATGGATTAAGACTGTATTTGAGTTAATCTAAATATGGGAACACAAAAACTGTGGAAACTTAAAAAGAATGATATTTTTTAAAAAGTGTGTTAGAACTTCAGAAATAATTTTTCAGATGCATTTTTAGTAATTGTTTCATTTTAATGATTTAAGTGAAAAATAAAACTAATATTGAAAAACTTAACACTAAAAGGAAAACATATATTTGCTGATAGGCAGCTATGGTTAAGTCTCCTAACCACTGGTTGGGGTCTATACCCCAATGCCATCTGCTATATCCTAACTGTGAGGCTCTAACTTGCATCTTGAGTGTTGGGCCTGAAAATCTAAACCTAAAATGTAGATATATCTCTACTAAAAGTCCCACTATAACTACAGCAAAGTGATATGAAAAATAAGAGCATTTTATTTCATGAATTCTCAAAATATAAAGTACCATTTTGGACACATTCCTTCTCCAATGACTTTTTATGGTAAACCTATCATGTACTAGGATGTGGATATAAGGATACAGGAAGGTTATCTCTCAGTTCCCTTAATAAGTCAGTAGTAAGGGTTTTTTAACCCAAGCATCTGGCAGACATTTTTCACGTCCTACTTCACTTTGTCTAACCTAACATACATTGAACCCACTGACTAGCCTCTATTGATGTGGCATGCTTTGCTTACAATTTAGCACAATAATGAATGGCCACTTTACGAAGCATGCATGAAATGAAACACAAGTTATTTTAAAGCTAAGGACACTGAAGTCCTAATTCTCCAAGCAGGAACCTGCCAGCTTATTGTGGAAATAATTATTTTGGCTCAAATCAGCTGAGCTGCAGAAATATGACTTACAAGTTTTTAATTTCATTCTAATTATTATTTGCAAGAGCTAATGATTATCAGTAGTATATGAAAATTCAAGATCATTTCATAATTATATATTTTCTATTACAACATTCATAATACCCTGAAATTGAAGATTTTTGAAGCCATAAATTTTATAAATACATAAAAAACATGTTGATTCCACATGAGAACACATTAATAATTTTTCCCTAGAGTTTATAATTTATTGCATTCACTTGCTGATATATTGATTCAAATACTAGTGTCTTAAAAACTGAGAAGCATATGTTTTGCAGAAAAGAAATATATTAATCTTTTAAAATAGTAGTTAACTTAAACCTGTCTTTCCCATGGCTGGTACTTGACTAGAATATCAAACTGCAAATTTCTGCAAGCAAAAGAGACATTCTGGCTGGTGTATGGTCCACGGTACAAAAGAACTGAGTGTGGATTTAAATGTAATCAAATTCTGAAATAACTTTATCCACAAAGAAATACATGAGCAAAATAGCCATGCTCAAGCTCTCTCCTAAATCATGAATTTAAAGGAGCATACTGATAAAAAGAGAAGGCACTGAAAAGGTTTCTAAAGCTTTGGAATAGCTTTCTCCTTGGTTTTTATGTAACCCCCCTCCGCATAGTTCTTCCAAGAAAAGTTGACCACAAAAGCTCAATATTTATGAAGATTTAATAAGACTTCCCTGGTGGCTCAGATGGTAAAGCGTCTGCCTACAATGTGGGAGAACTGGGTTCAATCCCTGGGTGAGGAAGATCCTCTGGAGAAGGAAATGGCAACCCACTCCAGTACTCTTGCCTGGAAAATCCCATGAATGGAGGAGCATGGTAGGCTACAGGCCACGGGGTTGCAAAGAGTCGGACACAACTAAGAGACTTCACTTTCAATGAGTCTCTAAGGCTGTTCAATGTGGGAGACCTGGGTTCGATCCCTGGGTTGGGCCTGGAGAATTCCATGGACTATACAGTCCAAGGGGTCCTAAAGAATTGGACACAACTGAGCAACTTTCTGGAGAAGGAAATGGCAACCCCAGTGTTCTTGCCTGGAGAATCCCAGGGACGGGGGAGCCTAGTGGGCTGTTGTCTATGGGGTTGCATAGAGTTGGACACGCCTGAAGCGACTTAGCAGCAGCAGCAGAGCAACTTTCACTTTCAAGGCTGTTCAAGGATAAGGAGATCTGATAAGCTTTCCAGGGGAAGTAGATTTCCTTCCTAATAATCTCAGAGTACTTCCCAAGTTACAGTGAAACATCTCAATATGGGAGTGGGTACGTAAGGCTTGGGGCTACCTAAAAAATGGGGAGCAGGGATGAGAGAATTATTAATGATCTTCATGCCTTTCCTCGGAAATAATCTAATTTTTATGCAGAGAAAAAATGTTACTGCCCCTGTTTCTTATCAGAATCATGGAAAGAGAGGGTGTACCACAGGCCTGACCTTGTATCAGAAGCTAAGCTGAGAACACAGATCGCCTCCACTTGTTTTCCTGTAAATATCTCAGAACACACTACACTCTCATTTAATTTTTTTTCTTATATTTGGTATAGAATCTTCCCTATCTTCAAATATGTATTTGAATTAGATGAACTCAGGGAGCAAGAAAAATTTGGAGATTCTTGGGCCCAAAAGTAAAATTTTAAAATATAGGTTAAGATATGGACAAAACAGACTAAATAATACTGCATAAATACTAAAAAAAAAAGGGGGGGGGGAAGACTACTTCAGGAATGGTGACTCTAAATACAGTAGCAATATTTAGGACAGACCTGTTTTGGGGTCCCTACAATTACTTTACTGTGAAATATTTTAGATACAAAAAAGGTCAGGAGGACAATGCAAACTCCCGTACACACCAGTAAGCTTCATCATTTCTTAAAAGTTTTCTTCGGATTTAAGAAATATGTCATTACAAACATGGTGGAAGCCCCCTGACAAACCTCCTCAATCTTATTCCCCTGCCTCCCTCCCCTTGGTGAGAAGTAACAAAGTAAACAGTAATCATAGTTTGCCTAACCTTTCACAGCTTGATTTTTTTGTCTCAACATTATGTTTCTGAAAAAATCCATGTTGAGAGATGCAATTCTAACCCATTCAATCTTATGACCAGAGTAATCCAATTTATAAATATAGCCTGATTCATCAATTCTTTTCATTTTTTTATTGATCAATTTTCTTAAAAGCCTATGAAGATTTACGTTGGTTCTGCAATGAGCAATCTTATGCTGTCACCTACGGTACTACAATTCCAGGCTTCCTTGGTGGCTCAGTGTTAAAAGAATCCATTTGTAATGCAGGAGACATGGGTTCAATCTCTAGGTCAGGAAGATCCCCAAAGGAAATGGCAACCCACTCCAGCATTCTAGACTGGGAAATTCATGGATAGAGGAGCCTGGTAGGCCACAGTCCATGGAATTGCAAAGAGTCGGACTCAACTGAGTGACTGAACAACTATAACAAAGGGTACATTTTGCACTCATTTTCTGGGATACATACTCTAATGAGACTGCTCTGTTGTGGACATTGAGAGCTTCACTAGTACCAGATAATGACAAACCGTCATTTTAAGGTGGAATACCAATTTTTATTCCCTTTAGTAGTGCAGAAAAGTTCTTGGTTTTACACATCAAGGCCAATATTTGGCATTTTTAAACTAAAAAATTTCCCACTCTGAAGAATATGAAATATCTTTGTATTTTTTACATTTTTGTTAGGTTAATATTTTCATGTTTTAGACTATGCAGGTTCCCCTTCTGTGAGTTTCCTGTTCATATCCTTTCCCCAATCTTCTATTAGTTCACTTTGCTTTTGTTTTATTGTATTTCAATATCTCATACACTAATTCCTTATTGGTTATATCTATTATTAAGATTTTCTCCCACTCTATGCTTTTCTTTTCCTTTTTTTTTTTTTTTTGCTGACACCACAGGGCATGCATGCAGGATCCTAGTTCCCCCACGAGGGATCAAACCCCGACCCCTGCAGTTGAAGTGCAGTGTCTTAACCACTGGACAGCCGGGGTAAGTCCCCATAGTATACATTTGTATGATACAAAGGTGTTTGCTTAACCTGCTTGAATTTATAAATGTTTTCCTTTGTAACTTATGCCCTTTGTATCTTAGTTAAGGACACAAACATTACCCAGAGATCATACAGATATTCTATATATTCTTTTTCTAAATGTTTTAAGATTTACTTTTCATAAGTAGATTTTAATCCACCTGGGATTTATTCTTTAATGGATTGAAATTTTCTGACATTTTCCCTTTGGATATTAATAATCATATTTGAACCCCATGTATTTAATGTTGATCCTTTCTCCACCAATTTTTAAATTGCGATATGGTTGATACCGCTGTCAATACAGAACACTTCTATCACAAGGATCCCTCAAGTTGCCTTTTACAGTCGTATCTCCTTTTCATCCACCCCCACTTCTTCTTTAATATCAGGCAATTACTGATCTGTTCTACATGTCTATAATCTTTGCAGTTCAAGAATATTACATACAGTTCCAGCAGGGAGCCCGGTGAGAAGCGGATGGCGGCCTTCAACCCGGCGCCCTCCAGGTCCTCTGGCCTCCTGCCGGTGAATTAGGGGCCCCCGGGCCGGGACCTCCTGCGGGCGGGCGAACCGGGGGTCCCCAGCCCCCGGTGGGTAGGTGAACTGGGGGCGCATTCACTCGGCCAGCTTGGGCTGTCTTGCAGGGCCTCAGAGCTCTCACCACCGCCACCCACCGGAAGCCGCAGCAAACCTCACCCTCACCCTCACCTCTGCAGCCTAATGGGGGCGGCCGCTCAGCGCCCGGATGTCGCTGACCAACCACTGGGTTTCTTGGCCCAAGGCTGCAGGGCTTAGGCCAAGCCTCCGCCAGGCCCTCGCGGGTGGGTGTGGACGCCTTGGACCCGCGCGGATCCGGTACCTGAGGTGACCGCTCACGCGTGGAGACTGACGGAGACCTTAACGGCTGGGAAGGTGAGCAGAGCCGCGGTGGGCGACGGGTAGAAATTAACGGTTCGGCAGTTGGTGGTGGTTCTACCAAGACCTTGATGTCGAAAGATATTAATAGAAATGGTGGGATAACTTACCGCATGCAGCCAATAGGAGTTGCCTGTCGCCCTTTGGGAAGACTTACTGTCCATTTATAGAAGGCCTATGTTTATAATATGAAAAAGCTGCTCTCAACTTTTCACTCAACCTTGCAAAAGGAAACTCACGCTATATATAGGCCTTCCAGATATGAAGAGGTTGCTGAAGTATGATAAAGTCAAGTTAGAAAATCATCTCTCTTGTAAATGCCCATTTTTTTTAAAACCATAGAAAAGACATATCTTCTGGAAATAATTTTTCTAAATGGAGTTGTTTGACCACTGTAAAATAGTAAAAAAGTTACAGATTAAAAGTCACACAGACTTGATGCAACAAAGATTGTCCTAGATACATCAACCAAGGTAGAAATCTTAAAGGAAAAGACTGACAGATTTAACTACATTAAAACAGAAACACACATAGCATTTTCTATCTCACCTGTAGATAAAGGGATAAGTATGTGAATATCCAGGCTTCCCAGGTGGCACCAGTGGTAAAGAATCTGCCTGCCAATGCAGGAGACATAAGAGAGGCAGGTTCTATCCCTTGCTCAGGAACATGCCCTAGAGAAGGAAATAGCTACTCACTCCAATAGTCTTGCCTGGGAAATCCCATGGACAGAGCCTGGCAGGCTACAGTCCATGCGGTTGCAAAGAGTCAGACATGACTTAGTGACTAAACAACACCAACAAATGTGAATATTCACACGAAAATTCAGGTAGTAAAAGCACAAGCATATGGGCTGGAAGAAAACCCACGAAAGTGCCTCTAAGGATGGTGGGAACAGGACAAGGAGTGAAGGCTGTTAGGGAAATACACAAAAGGAATACCAATGGAACATTTTATTCTTTTCCCACCCCTCCTGTAAAAAAATCTGACACAAACATGACAAAACATTCAATTTGATGAATAGAGGTGGTGATGAAGTCAAAATGGATATTAGTTTTCTCCGAATTTCTATGGATTTTTAAATTCCTTTTTAAAAATTTGGGGATAAAAGGCAATAATTAGAGAAGAATGTAAGCCTTACCACATTTAATACAGGTAAGTGTGTCCATGCCTAGGAAGGGAATCAGAGGTTAATTAAAATGTTAGCAGCCACTACCTCTAGGTGGAAAGATACTGAGCTACTTTACTTCTTTCGTATTTGTGTCTCTGCATTTTGTAAAGTTCTTTTGTAAAGCCAACACTTTAATATTTTAATCGAAAACAAGCAAGCAAACAAACAAAACCACATCCTGTTGACATACAGAAAAGCTCAAGTCAAAGAGGACTTCATAGGTGAGTTCTACGTTAGAGGCCAGGAGAGTTTATGCAGGAAACCCTGACATCTAATAAACTGAAGCAAGGGACTCCACTAGATATTACGCAGGTTTCTTTAAGCCTTTAGGCCAAGTCACCTCATCCAACAACAACAAGAAAACAAAACAAATTAAGAGCGGGATCTGTAGAAAGGACCTTCAAATATGAAATGAAGAAATAATGACTCGTAGTAAGGAGGAGGTTTGCCAGTAATTTTTACCCACATATCATCCATTAGTGGGTTTCTGGCTTCTTACCAAGTCATCTATTTATAGCACAGTAAGCAGCCCTACTAGAGGCAATATTTCAGCAAGAGTCAAGTGAAAAGAAAGTATAAATATCTGGCAACTGACCAAGTCTGTCATCGGGAATAAGGGCTAATTAAACCCATATTATTTACTGTTCTAATTAGACCACTGTTCAGTTCAATTTTCTATGCCAAATGTCACCAAACAGAACTGTGTCCTGTCTATAACATAATATAAAATAAAGTTTTAATTCATAAAAAATACAATAAGCAGTTTAATACAGTCATCTGGGCTTTTAGGTTGGTGAGTTCAAATCATTTTAGGTAAACGTTTAAAATATACACAGCTGAAATTGATTTTTCATTTTGTCACGTTATACTGATATGTTGAATGTGAAAAGTTGAAAAACATCATATTTTTTTAAATGAAAGTTGAAAGTTCATTGCAATATTGTTTTGTTTTTATTCCCACTTTTCCATCTATTCAGTTTATAGTTAGAGTCAGGTTCCTTTCCATAACTTCTCCACCTTTACTTGCCAAAGAAAAGTATTTTGATTCTAAAATAACTAAAATAGGCAAGTTGTATAGGCAGGTCTTTGATTTCTCTGATTGAACCAGTAAGATATTTTTTTCCCCTAAGAAAATAGAGAGAAAATGACATCTCAAGAGGGGTCCTAAAGTTTTTCTCCTTTCCCTGGCCATGAAGATGGTTAGATTTTGCTTTGAAATGGCACAGCTATTTCCTACCAGCCAATCTTCCTGCCATCTCATCAATCTTCTTTTTGCAAAGAGTAGCAATGATATTCCCAATTTCCACCTGCTTTTCATCTCTTCCATGTGATGCCAACAGCATGATGATAATAACACAAACATTTAGAAAAACAAAACCTTTCTTGAACAAACTGTCACAGTGTCTTTTCTGAACATTTATATTTGTGTGTTTTCTTCCTCATAGTGACAGAGAACCTGCTTCCCTGAAACTTTTAGCCTTCTAGAGCAGTGGACGGTGAGTCTCCATCCTCTGCTACAGAAGAACTCTTTTTGAGATTTCTCAAACTAGCTGGTACCTTCAAGAATGCAGACAAGGTCAAATGCTGAGAAGTGTTAAGCTGGCTAAAGTGTTGAGAGTCAGTTATGCCTAGCACTGAGGAAGTTACTGGTATTTTTGTGAACAGTTTCATTGTCATGATGAAACAAACAAAAATGAGAGCAGGCAGTCTGGGGGCAAGGAGGCAACTAAAGGGGAAGGGAGTGTAGTGCAGCCTTGACAGCTGGGTTTTCTTTTTGTTTTTGTGATCCAAGTGACTGACTTAAGCTTTGCTGCCAAGGCACGCACTTTGAAGATGGCTATCTTCAATAAACACACTGCCAGCCACACAACTAGATAAAAAAGCTGGGCTCTACCTCCCGCTCCTCCGTCCCAGAATGAGCCACCTTACTGCAAGCAAGTAATTTCTTGTGTTAATTATCTTTTTTAAAATGGAGGTTTACGTGGTGAAATTATTGAAAAGTCCTGGACTTGGGGATGAATTCAAAAGTCAAAGTGAAAGAAACAAACCTAATATGGAGTTAGATTTCATTGTTGTTGTACAGTTGCTCAGTCGTGTCTGACTCTTTGCAACCCCATGGACTAAAGCATGCCAGGCTTCCGTGTCCATCACCATCTCCCAGAGCTTACTCAAACTCATGTCCATTGAGTCAGTGATGCCATCCAACCATCTCCTCCTCTGTCATCCCCTTCTCCTCCTGCCTTCAATCTTTCCCAGCATCAGGGTCTTTTCTAATGAGTCAGCTCATCACATCAGGTGGCCATTATTGACGCTTCAGCTTCAGCATCAGACCTTCCAATGAACACTCAGGATTGATTTTTGTGACAGTTTCGCACTGAATAATTCTCACAAACACACAGGATAATGAGAGACAGTGCAGGGAGAGTTGCAGAAGAGCAGCTCCCCGAGAAAATGCTGTATGTATGTGTGTTACTCACTCAGTCGTGTTGGACTCTTTGTGATCCCACTGACTGTAGCCTGCCAGGCTCCTCTGTCCATGAGATTCTCCAGGCAAGAATACTGGAGTGGGTTGCCATTCCATTCTCCAGGGGATTTTCTCGACCCAGGGATCAAACCTGAGTCTCCCTCATTGCAGGCAGATTCTTTACCATCTGAGCCAGCAGGGAAGCCCCAAATCCATAAAAGTGAAAGTTGCTCAGTCGTGTCTGACTCTTTGCAACACCATGGACTGTACAGTCCATGGAATTCTCCAGGCCAGAAAACTGGAGTGGGTAGCCTTTCCCTTCTTCAGGGGATCTTCCCAACCCAGGGATCAAACCCAGGTCTCCCGCATTACAGGCGGATTCTTTACCCACTGCGCGCATATTTATTGGTAACTTATAATCTTTAACTAAGAGCAGTAAGACAAGACAGAGATCAGAACTCTGGGATTAAGGATCCTCCTGGAAGTCTGGAGGTAATCACATGAAAGTCATAAAGAAAGGTCTTTGAGGATAAGAGAGTTTGTTCTGCATGCAGAATGGTATGTAGCTAATGCTGACATGTCAGCCAGAACTTCTAACTTAAGGGCAGGGGAAAGAGCAAGCAAGGAAGAGAGAATGAGTAAGATTAAATTCCAGGAGACATTTCTGAGAAAGCAGCAAAACATGGTTCCCCTAGATTTCCTTTAAGATTGACTGGTTTGATTTCCTTGCAGTCCAAGGGACTCTGAAGAGTCTTCTCCAACACCACAGTTCAAAAGCATCAATTCTTTGGCACTCAGTCTTCTTTATGGCCCAACTCTCACACACATACATGACTATGGGAAAAACATAGCTTTGACTATACTGACCTTTGTTGGCAAAGCAATGTCTCTGCTTTTTAATATGCTGTCTAGGTTTGTCAGAGCTTTTTTCCCCAAGGAGTTAGATTTATTCTTCCCTACATGAACATTCAGAAAACTAAGATCATGGCATCTGGTCCCATCACCTCATGGGAAATAGATGGGGAGACAGTGGAAACAGTGTCAGACTTTATTTTTTTGGGCTCCAAAATCACTGCAGATGGTGATTGCAGCCATGAAATTAAAAGATGCTTACTCCTTGGAAGGAAAGTTAAAAAGCAGAGACATTACTTTGCCAACAGAGGTCCATCTGGTCAAGGCTATGGTTCTTCCAGTGGTCATGTATGGATGTGAGAGTTGGACTATGAAGAAAGCTGAGTGCCGAAAAATTGATGCTTTTGAACTGTGGTGTTGGAGAAGACTCTTGAGAGTCCCTTGGACTGCAAGGAGATCCAACCAGTCCATCCTGAAGGAGATTAGTCCTGGGTGTTCACTGGAAGGACGGATGCTGGGGCTGAAGCTCCAATACTTTGGCCACCTCATCTGAAGAGTTGACTCATTGGAAAAGACCCTG